TACAGAGATACATGAGCATCGCAAAATGGAAGGAGGCTTCAGCATGAGCCATGTCAAATCCTTGAAGCGAGCATGGAAGCGGAGACCTACCTCCTGACATTCACTATTAAATAAACTGATGGATACTGAGCTCCAGAACATGGTGACTTCATGTGGGGCTGCGGGCATGGTAGCACCGCTGGGTACCATGATGGACACTGACTGGACCCCCGGAATTATGAACACACTTATGACCTCACTGCACAAGCAAGCCTTCTGCAGCCTTGTGGTACATTGGTTTTTCCATCTGAGGATGTTGAATACTGTCCTAGTTAGGATTCGCATTGTTGTGATGAAACACCATGGCCAAAAGCAAGTTGGGGAGGAAAAGGTTTCTTTGGCTTACACTTTCACATCTTAGCCCACTGTCGAAGGAAAGAAAGCAGGAACTCAAGCAGGGCAGGAACCCCGAGGCAGGAGCTGATGCAGAGACCATGGAGGGGTACCGCACACTATGAAGGTACTCTGTGAGCTACTAAATGTACAGTACAGGTCACTGCCATTAAAGTCCTTTGAGTCAAACAATATGGCAAGCGGTTGGTTCTTCTACATCCTGAGGAATCCACAAATATTTCTGAAATGTAAAAAGCCAGTTTAAGAGCCTGCAAGATGACGTAGTAGATAGGAGTACTTGCCGTCAATGCTGAAGGTCTGAGTGCGATCCCAGGAAGCCACAGTGTGAAAAGAGAGATCCAACTCCCACAAGTTGTCTTCTGGCTTCCACATGTGCGTCACGTCATATGTGCACACGGTCTTACATGTGCATGCACATGTGATACACACACACACACTGTGCTAGCTAGTTTTTATGTCAACTTGACAAAATTTAGAGACATCTGACAGGAGGGAAGCCCAACTGAGAAAATGCCTCCATAAGATAAAGCTAAGGCAAGCCTGTGGGACATTCTCTTAATTAGTGATTGATGTGGGGAGTGCCTGGCCCTTCAGGGGTGGGGCTCCCTGGGCTCATAGACCTGGGTTTTATATGAAAGCAAGCTAAGCAAGCTATAAGGAGCAGGCCAGTAAGCAGCACCCCTCCACGGCCTCTGCATCAGCGCCTGCCTCCAGGTTCCTTCCCTGTTTAAGTTCCTGCCCTGACTTCCCTCATTAATGGATTATAACGTGGAAGAGTACGCAAAATAAATTCTTTCTTCCCCAAGCTGCTTTTGGTCATGGTGTTTCATCACAGCAGGACACACCTAAGGCATAGACATACATACACACATACGCACTCACACAAACACATAAACTTAAAGCATATAGGTGTAAATAGAAATTTTAAACCAAATGTAAACATTAATTTCCCCATGGTTTTTCAACACATAATATAAACACTACATAATGATCGGGTACGGGGTAGGGGGAAAAACAAACACTGAGTCAGTACTTTTCTGGTTTAGTTGAGAGCCAGCTTCTCCTGAGATCATTTTACAAACTCATATTTCAAGCATCTACCCTAGACTTATTAATGTGCAGTATCCTTGGGTAAGGACACGCTTTGAGGACTGGTGTTTTTATAAGGAGCTCTAAACAGTTTGATAGACAGCTAGAGTCTGAGATCATTGCTACACCGGGCAGTTCAGTGACCCAGAACCCTAAGGGCTTGGAGATATTAAGAAGCTGTGGGTGTCTTAATGAATGATTAAGGTTTTCTTTTAAATAGATCTTTAATGCAGCCGATACATTTTTCATACGCACCTCTGATCCAAATGTGAATATGAAAGATGAAGAAACCAAATTAGAAAGTCGGTCCAAGTCGATAAATAAATCATGCCTCGGGGGAAGTACGACTTCCCACAGTTAATGACATGGAAATGTGAAAAGAAAATGAAGTGTGTTCTGGAAGGTGTGAGCTGGCCCCTGTGTCAGGACCATCCTAAACAGTGTCTGAAATTCACAGCAACCAAGTTAGCAGAAATTTCCCGTTTGTTCCAAAGAGCTGGGATGGAGGGCTTTGACTGTTTCCATGAACAGAAATAATAAATGCCTGAGACGGAGGATATGCTAATGGCTGAGCCATGGACACGCACCCAAAAGTAAGATGGCGTCACCACACCTTTGCCCGATTATTGTGTGTCAATTAAAAGTAAGGAAATGGAAAGTCACATCACATTGTGAATGTCCTCACCTCATCTATAAGCTCACCCTGAGCCTCTGTCTCTAGGCTGGCATACCGATCAATACAAAAGCCATCCAAGCAAATGTCTCACACCGAGAGTGTCCATGTCAAGAGCAACAACCAAAGAGAGAAGGGAAACAAAATGTCTTGTTGTGGACACCTGAGCGAAGGTGTGGGTGTATGATATGGCTATAACCTTGGGGGAAAAAAATGATCCCACAAAAGGAGTTCTATGGAAAATTGTGAGAATTAACCCTAGTTCCTAGATTTGCCCTTTACTGACAACATGCCCCAATTGCCAAGTTCTTGGGTGTAGCCAAACGGCAGCTCACAGCATTGGAAGCAGAACGCTGTGGGATTGCAGTAAGGGTCAAGCACAGCCAGGGTTTCAGGAGGTCAAGCTCATGTAAGCTTAACGTGCTTCCAGATGGGTGTTCTTCCTGGGCAACACACATTCTTCCTTCATAACAGACCAAACAAGCCCAGGTAAGTCTCTTAGAGCCTCAATACCGTGCCCTACGTGAAAAAGTAAATACTCCTCACAACAAGGCACTCTTCCTAGTCGCCATTGCTCTAAGGAACTTCAAACAAAAGAGGTCCCTGCTCCCACACACAAAGGAAAAAGTCAAACTTACCACAAACCTGTAGAAAATTTCCTACCTTCAACATATCATTTTAACAGAAAGGTATTCCTTTCTGTCCTTGTTTCACGTTTCTTGTTGACCATTAATAAACTGTAGGTTGAGGCTGGAGAGATGGCTCAGTGATTATGAACACCAGCTGCCCTTCCAGAGGACCTTTGTTTGAGTCCCAGCACCCACATGGTGGGTCACAACTGTCTGAAATTCTAGCTCCAGAGAATCTGATGCCCTCTTCTGGCCTCCTTGGAAACCACACACATATGGGTGATATATACATACATTCTGGCAAACAGTCATACATACAAAATAAAAATAAATGTTTTTTTAATAATAATCCTTTCAATAACCTTTGTATTCTTATCTTCTGTCTCAAAAAGAAAACTCACTGCATCGACTGACTTTGCTCAATTTACTAACAACGTGAACATTTACAGATCTTATACTTCAAGCTTTCTCTAAGCATCACTGTCCCTGTAAGACCTACAGAGTCAGGAGAAATAAATACTTATCATGGACCACAGTAGAAACCAAGGTGGACGAAAGATGTTTCACTGCACTGAAATGAATTTTCACAACAATTTCCTCCCTGTAGGGTGGATTTATAGCCCAAGCTGATCTCCAAAGCCATGTCCCTGCTCTCCTTGCCCTGTGTCTTCCTGCCGCTGGGGGAGGAGGTTACAACAATCACCTCTGTGCTTTTCTGCGTGTTTCATTCAACTGCTGGTTCCATTAGTGCATGCTATATTTATTATTTATTATAATTCAATAGACATCTTTCTTAGAGGTAGGCTCTCTCACCATTCTCTTGAGGAACAAAGAATTACAGGATTCTAACCCAAAGACAGAGTAATTTAAGAGTTCTGTTTTCCAACACACACACACACACACACACACACACACACACGCCACCATATTGATCATACAGGAATGTTTATTGAGACACTGCACCTTTGATTAACACAGACCAAATACAGTGTGACAGCTGGCACAGTTCCCAGCAGACAATTCAAGTATTTAGTGAAATGAATAAACAATCAACCCATTTCCTTTTTTATATATAACACTTGTTAGCTTAAATTTTCATAAGCATGCATATATTTGACACATATAAAGATAAGCTTATGGGCTTTACCGTCTTTCTAAATGTCACCATTGGAATTGGCAGCAGCCACATCTTCCCAGCACCCAAGGTCCACAACCTACTCATCTCTGACCCTCCACACACCTCTCAGTCCACACTCCCTCAGTTTTCAAGCTTTTTATAATTCAGATTTTACTCCCTCCTCCTGGCCCCTCTCCGTTCTGAAGGGCATTTATCTGGCCAGAAAAGCATCCTCCTCACCCTTCTCACAGACGCAGAAATACTCTCAGGGCATCTGTGCCCCTCACCGTGTTACCTTTTGGCTCACCGTGGAAAAACCCTAAACGCCAGACAGATCGATTTTACAACTCTCAGTACAAAATGTTTTTCCATGATTAAACTACACATAATCCAATAGTTCTACAATCTGGCTGCATCCACATATATGACCCCAATCTTCTCTCCTTTTGCTCTTGCCATTCACGATCTGATCCCATGGCTGTTTAGTGTCCCCAGGTCTGTGCCTTTGCTGAACAGATCTCATTACCTGGTGGGTCCTTCCCCTCTGCTTTTCTCATGTGACAATCCTGCAAATCCTTTAAAGCCGGGTCCTTTGAAACTACTCCTCCACAAGGACTCCCCGACCCGAAGCTGGGAGAATTAGCTTCTTCCTTTGATGACAGAGAACATTTTCCTTGCACCTATTCTGCAAATTAACCGACTCTATTTCAGGTGTTATGGGTCTTTTATGTCTCCTACCACCTTTAAGCACTGAGAGGCCACACCTCTGCAGCTCCCACCAGCACCTAGACCATATACTGGGAGTTCAAAGACATTTCATTTTGATTCCATCTGCATGGCACTGTGAAGGCCACTGAAGGGACAGACGCTCCCAGCTGCATTGCTTAGGCAAATGCTTAGGTAAATCTGGGGATTTACACAAAACTAAATGATGTAAAATGTTTCCTTGAACTTCAGAACTAAACAATGAGAGGAAAAAACCCTCCTCTGTCCTTAAAATACTTCAGGCAGACAGCATCCATCTCTCGCCATCAGTCTGCCCTCACCGAGAACAGACACACAGAGGCAGCAATGCCCAGTGGCTCCCTGGGCATCTTACTTTGCAGTAGACAATCATGTTGGGAGAACTCTCTTCTGGATCAGCAATCCCCACTGCTCTCTGGTCCCCGGATCCCTGAGCCATCCTGCGTATCTTCTCTCACACTGCAAAATAAATAAATAGACCATTAAGTCAAGAATGAACTTGTTTAAAAAAAAAAAAAAGAAAGAGAGAGAGAGAGAGAGAAAGCATTGAAAGACAAATAACAAGTGTCTTTTGCCAGATACACTGGACAGTCCCTAGCCTCAAAGCACAAGGTCCTTTCCAGAGCCACACACCCTAGGAGAAAACGTATGCTAATTTTAATCTCCTGGCAACAGATGAATTCAATCATTTTGATGCCGATTTTGCCTTAACAAAAAAAAAAATCACTCTGCTTAATTCCTACACAGTAATATATGGATATTTAGTTGCAGAAATACAAATCAAGATCCCAAAAAGTTACTTTATAGCCACTCCAATCATACTAATAAATAAGAAATCAATAACAAGTTTTAGCCAGGTGTTGCTGGCACACACCTTTAGTCCTAGCACTCAGTAAGCAGATCTCAAAGTTCCAGGCCAGTCTAGTCTACAGAGCAAGTTCCAAGACAGCCAGGGACACACCGAACAGAGAAACAAAAGCAAAACAACAACGAGCGTTAATAGTGACATGGGTAAACAAGAACCCTCCAGATGATTGACAGGGATACCAAATGGTAGAGCCCCAGCAGAAACAGTTTAGTGATCTTCAAATATTAAATTCCACGTCTATGTATATACTCCAAGACTAAAAACAAATATTCAAATACCAGTCCTAAAATATGCACAGCACTCTCTGTCATACTAACCAGTAAGTAGGAAGAACCTGCACGTCCACCAAGGCATGAGTGGAATATTACTCATCCATAAAAAAAGGAATGAAGCTCCGATTTACGCTACTGTGTAAATGATCTATAAAAAAAGATATCTGCTATATGAAAGCAGCTTGTCAGAAAAAAAAAATCATGTATTGCATGACTCCATTTATATAAAGTACCCAGAATAAGCAGATCCACTGAGACAGAAAGCATTAATGGCCGCCAGCACTATGGAAATAGGAATGGGGTGGTCATTTGGCAAACATAGGGTCTCCTTTGAGGATGATGAAAATATTCTGAAGCTAGAGAAAGATGAGGGCTATAGATGACCAAGAACTGCTAAATGCTGCTAAACTCTGCATTGGAGGATGAGTAATTTTATGTTACATGAATTTCACGTGAATTAAGAAAAAAAGCGAATGTGTTTAATTCAACCTTTTGGAAAAAGCCTGCAAAAACAATGGTAAGATAATGACATGCGTAGAAAACTTGGGAGTAACGAGATGAGTTCCATTCTTGGTGTGACAGCGCACTTGCTGTGTGAGCTCGGCACGCTGATAACGTACTGGGTTCCCTTCTCAGAGCCACAGGACTTCACTTTCCACCGACACCGAAGGGTGAATTCGCCGGCAGGTGAGCCCCAGACAGGCTGAATGGGAAAGTATAGTGCAAAGCCAGAGAGGTTCTTTCTAAATGTTATCGCTAATCTACGGGCCTGCCAGGGCTATCTGCACAAATTTCACAGGGCTTTTCATCAAAGAAACTTGGATAAATACCATACTTTAAAAGGCCATTCGGTTCAAGAGAAGAACCCATAAACTACACTGGTACCAAAGGTCATTCTATAAAAACAAATTAGGGTAGAGAATCTGGAAGAAACAGCAATCAGTAATTTATGCAAGGATGTTACTGCCCAAAATACCCAACGCGGAGTGGAGGCTTACTCTACATTGTCTGACTTAGAACGCATTTTAAAACTAAAAGGCTGCAGAGGATCACTCTGGGTCGTGGTGTGATTGCTATAAATAGCGTGCCACAGGGAAACCCAGGTTATTATTCTAATCAGTGACTTTCAAAGCGAACGTATGGCTTTGTTTCGGAACACCTACTTGCTGCTCCTTTACTTTAATACAGAATGTGACGGGGCAGGAGAAATATCGAACGCGGGTCCACCTGTGTGTCCTCATTTATGCACAGAATGAAACCCGGGAGAGGGGGTTTGCAATGCTTTCTTTTAAAACAAGCGCTTTCACTTTAATGAGCCTGTTCTTTTCCACCTCGAACGGGCTGTTAAGAGTGTTGGCAAGTTGGTAATGACCTGGAAACTAACTTCTTGATCTTGGGTGTTTGTCTGGGCCCTCCCCCGACACCACCGTAGAAGCTCAAGTCTCTCAAGCTCGAGCTCGGGTGGGCCTGAAAGCTGCTGAGTGAAGGCGGAGTAGAAGGTAAAACCTCAGTAGGTCTAGTACTCACAAGAAACACTTATCAACTAGTTTGGAAACTCAGACAAGATGTCTGATTTTTTTTTTTTCCATGTCTGGAATGAATCAATTCTAAAATAGTAAGATAACTACCTGCTGGTTCCTATGTCAACACAGGTCAAGCCAGAGCTGGATGGGAAGCTGGATGGGCAGGACTTTATCACTGGGCTCAGTGATGACAATATTGAGGGAACGGGGGAACTAGGCCCTCGTTCCCTACCATATGAATACAATGTTTCTTTGCAGTGAAGAGGATGGAATGACATGGATGGGAAAGCTGGGTGTCTGGGAGGGCTAGTGTGGTGCACGCACACACATGTAAAGACCAGGACACCGGTGTCACGCCCCTTTTTCTGAGATGGGTCTTCACTGGCCTAGAACTCACCTAGCAGGCAAGGCTGGCCAGCCCTCGTTATTTGCTAGATCCCTGAAATAGGATCTGGCTCTGTAGGCGCCCACATATTTTTAAATGAATGATGAAGTTGATATGCATCTGACAAGATTCCATGTCTGGAAAATGCAGGCCTAGCACTGCCAAAAGCCAGGCACAATGGGACACATCTATAATCCAGCACTAGGAGGCAGAGGCAGAGGAAGCATGAGATTGAGGCCAGCCTGGGCTACACAGCCAGTTTAAAATCAGTCTGGACTTCTGAGAGAAGTCCCATTTAAAAGAAAAAAAAAGTGTTCATTGTATCAGGACCCATGTGTGGAATCTCACATGAAAATTCCCCACAGGGCTTCCTGATATGAGCCAGTTTGAAACTAGGAATCTAGCTCTTACAAACAGTCTAGGTGAGAAGGAACGGGGGGTGGGGGGTGGCAGGACATGACAGAGGACTAACAGAACAATTGGGTGTTGGTGATACACGCTGACCAGAGGACCTTTTGAAAGTCAGGATTGGACCAGGATTGGATTCAGTCTAAACTTAAATTGCCTTTGTAACTTGCAGTTACAGAAGGGCCTGTTGGTTTCATTCCAGCCCATCTGAAGCAAGCAAAGCCTGGGGTCCAGAAAAGACACACACACACACACACACACACACACACACACACCCTCACAAACACGCTGCTCAGCCAAGTAGGAAGGAAGAACTTGGAAGGCGAAGAGTTTGGGGAGTTGGCCTAAAATCCACTCTCAGCACTGCCCCCTTGAGCCTATGCTTTGGGCTCTGGCATTTGAACATCCCTCCAGATAACCAGCTCGTTAAAGAGAGAATATACCACACAGGGTGCTCCTGACGAGGGACAGGGCAAAGCCATATGAGATGATTGGAGAAGCTGTTGTGAACCGAGGAGATGTCTCAATTGATAAGTTACTTGTTTTGCAAGCAGGAGGACCTGAGTTTAAAACCCATAACCCATGTATAAAAGCCAAGCACGGTGACCTATGACTGTAACTTTAGTGCCTGGAAGGTGGACACAGGTATATATCTCTGGGACTGATTGGTGCAGGAGAGACTGTCTGAAAATAACACAGTGGCTGGATGGTGCCTGAGAACTGACCCCTGGGGTTGTCCTACAGCCTCAAAATGTGTGTGCATACATGTATACCCACACATACATACAGAGGGAGACTGAGACACACATATACATACACAGAGGGGGAGAGGGAGGGAGGGGGGAGAGGAAGAAAGAGAGAGAGACTATTGTCATGTTCTAAGCTAGGGTTTATCCAGGTAAATCCCCCAGTCTCATCTATCAGAATGGAGGAAAATCCCACCACACCAGCTCCGTAGTATGACTGCATCCAGAACCAACGTCTGGAAAATAAGCACTCCCACAGGTGATGGAGTGCAGCACTAAAAAGAGGGCACCCCCAGTCAGGAGACAATGTCACACAAAGCCTTGAGCATCAGGCCCAACATTCTCAGTGCCCAGCCACCAAACCCCCAGCCCAGGGATGTGTCAACTAAAAGGAAGTCAAGTCCTGGCTGTGAAGGTGACTGAGTACTCACACCACTGAACCAAAGCCCCTATTGATGTTTTCCCTTCTCCTTCATATTATGTTAACGTATTGCCTGCCTCCACCCCTTCCTTAAAAAACTAATGGCTTTTACAGAAAACAATGATCAGTGTTAAACACCTCTGGAGGAAAGAAAACGACAAGCTGTGTGCTGGCTCCATAGTACAAGTTTGTTTAGGCAGCTCTAATGTGACTGAGTGGGCAGGAAGCTCAAGAGGAAAGGCTGGAAAACGGCAGTGCTAAGAACAAAGAGCTCTCTCTACGAATGCTGTCTGCCAGCTTGACATTTCTTCTCCACCCAAGGCTCACAGGCTCAATCACAGAGCAGCTCCCCAGTTTGGAGGCATGGACCCAAAATCTTAAAGCACGGGGATAGCATTCAACTCCTGAAGGCCAACATTGGTAACTCTGCCAGGTGTCTTCCTGGGATATAACTTGCCTGGTCATTCTAGAGCCTCAGTTAGAATGTCAGCGGTTCCCAAAAGAAGGCTGCCTCAGAAAAACCCAGTGGAGAACCTAAACCATTGGTTCTCAACCTGTAAGTCTCCACCCCTTTGGGGTAGAATGACTCTTTCCCGGGGGTTACCTAATGCCATCGGAAAACACAGACATTTACATTATGATTCATAACAGTAGCAAAATTACATTTATGAAACAGCAACAAAAATAATTTTATGCTGCAACCCTTTAAAAATAGGGTTTTTGCAGCATTAGGGAGATTGAGAACCACTAAGCAAGCACATTATTGGTTCCCATTCCCTAGAAAGTCTGATCCAGTGGGCTGAGGGCAGTCCCTGGAGACTTA